AAAAGAAATGATGACTACTTAAGTGGATTGCAATGTTCAAGACTAATGTTAATGATGTTGCTGCTGTAACAAGTTATAAAACACCAAGCAAACATGCTCCACAGGGTGTGCGTCCCGTGAATTGAAAGTTACACATGATCATGTTAAGAATGCCATTCACCACGGGCCGTCCCCAAAGCATCTTTAAAAAAATCTACACCAAAGGTTTGGACAGCGAAAGCAGCGGTACACTCTGTTTCTTATAGAGATGCCAATTCAGTAAAAGCATTCACTTTTTAGCTACCATTATACTAGTCACAATTTGTAACCTTACCGAATAAAGCTATAGCATATGAAATTACAATATATTTATCCTCTAAAACCATTTTTAAAGAAGGGCGTACCTGTCAATTTTTAGAAGTCAAAAACTAGCGGAAAAAATATAACTGATAAATGCAGTCTTTTAAAATATGTAGTGGTTAATTATATGCTAATTTTCAAAATACAACAGAATTTTTGGTCCGTGAGGCCCTTTAAGCAACAAAAGGTAGGTGAGGGAGTCCCATTTATCAATAGAAATATAAAATTCATGAAAAAATTTCAATGCTTATTAAAATATCTTTTTTCAGAATGCCTTTTTTTGGTAGTTAAACATAAGAAATCTCACTAATAAATAATGGGTAAGAGCTGGTAGGACACATAAATGAATTAAGATGCTTTATTATGACTGTGTCACATTCTTCTTTTGAAGACCATTAGTGATTTCTATGTCAACTGAAATACAATTATTTCTTAACATATATCAGGACCTACTGTCTAACATGTCTGTTTTCTCCCTGTGGAGCAGAGATCAGCACACTGCGGCCCCACAGGCCAAATCTGAATGACTGCTTGTTCCTGTAAGTTAAGTGTTCTGTGCACACAGCCACACTGACTCACTCGCATAACGTCTGTGGCTAATGTCATGCTGCAGGGGCAAAGGTGCATAGTTTAGACAGACCATACAATTCCTTCTCAAAGCCTGAATTCTTTACTATCCAATCCTTTACAGAAAAAATTTGTCAACCTCGGCCCTGGGGGGTTTCCCCGAATAATGTAAATTAATGCATGTTCCTCTACTTCAACACCTGTTCTCTCTTCTAATACATGTATACAGTCCATGCACTTTACAGTTAATTGTATTTGTTGGTATACACCTAGGAAGCCAACATTCTAGCCGGGCTCCCATGTTGAATGTATTTCAAACATAAGCACTCCCTATGGCTATGACCTGTTTGACTTCCGGTCACTTTGGAATGCTCTGGGAGTTGGATGATAATAAAATGGGGGGGGGGCATACACTAACAGAATGGCCAAAAAAACTTGCATCTTATTTCATCTTGAAGGAAGTTGGATAGCAAAAATAATAACCCAAATCAAATACACCTTAGGGTAAATGCCTTTCAATTGGGAAAAACAGATAGTTTTACACACACACACACACACACACACACACACACCCCTCCCACCTACCACAAACTGACAGCTAAAACAGAAAGTGTATTTATTTCATAAATATATTACTATCTTTATACATATAGATACATCCATAAAAGGCATGTTAAATAATTATCTGTGTAATCAATACTACTTTAAAGTTTTTCTTGCGTGTGCTTTAAAGTTACACACTCTATTAAAATTATCAAAATAAGTCTTTAAAAACAACAGAAATAAAACCAGTGAAGAGTCACTTTCCATTCAAATGTTTCCACATCTTATCATTGGTCACTTGGACTCCAGACTTGGGCATGCACAGATCAAGGAAACACAGTTCAACGAAGGAAAAGTTAGCCATCAAAATTCTAACACCCTCCCATTGTTAATACTTCATAACAAGTGTGTATATATATATAAACATCCGTTTTAGTTATATTACATATGCTTATAAATGAATTCTCATGAAAACACAGAGTTCTATTTACTGCCAGCATCAAATATTTTATACTGGTTTGCATTTCTTTCCAATGCAATTTAGGTCAATGACAAATTCTATAGATACAGAGGCCATAAAAGGAGCCTGAAAACTTACACATCACATGCGAGAAAAGAGGAGATATGAAGGCCAGTTGGGTACTATTCCTTTTGTGCTAAGACACAGAAACAACGAACTGGCTCATTACTGTGTGAAGTACAGTCAGCTCTCAGAAAATTCCAGTTGGAATCCTTTTTCCTGGCAGCTTCACTACTAACCACCCACCTCTCTTATTTATTAGCGAGTCTGGTAAAAGATACGATTAAGGTAAAAGTTTTGGCTAAATTAAAGGTCTGGATCCAGCTCTGGGTTTATTTTAATGGTGGATCCTTTTACATATTGCTTTAGATAATTAAGAACTGGATGTATCTAAAGTCTGCCAAATACCTGATTCTTAATCTCTGAAAGCAGCACTGGTGCTTCAATAAAAGGGGGATGGGGGGGTGGCAAACTGCCCTCTTGTCAGGAGGAAATGCCTGTATCTTAACGTGCAGCTACACGGAGGGGTTTCGGCGTGGGCAGCTCAGAGCTCTCCGCTCAGGACAGGCGAGGCCGCCCCCAACTCCCCGGAGTCTGAAACCCGTGAAGCACGGACAGATTGTTAACTGAAAACAGCCAGAAGGTAAAATTAAAGGTGCGACATACATTTCACCTAAAATCTCGCTTCAGTAAATTTAGTCACGTTTGCCAGAATCTCCAAACAACTAAGATTCTAAAGTTAAGAAAATGGAAGCAAAAACAACATATGCATTTTAAAAGTGATTTCACACTTAAAGAAAAAAAAAAAGACTTGCAATATGATAAAATAAAAGGTACTATGCACGTGTAACCCTATTTTTGGCACTGGTTTCGCCTCTGCATTTGAGCTTGTCCTACAGGTAGTGAAAGGAGGAGACAGGTTCACAGGCGAGGGGGGCTCAGGCAGACACCACCCAGAATGCTGTGCGGCCTCCTCCATCTTCTTTCCAGTTACAGTGACAGCCACACCTGCCTCAACAACAGCAGCAATGACTGGGTAGAACACCACTTTCCTGAATTAAGTTTGCTGAACACGGTTCAGATTATTGGATATGTCAATATGCACAATGCCTTTTAGAAGCATTTACTGTATACCCAAACCCTACTCCATGCAACACACGGTGTCGCACAAGTAGTGAAAATGTTAGCCTAGTCAAAGGTGCTTGGACATTATTTTCAGGCAGCATTTTATCTTTATTTTAAGTTCACACTAGATGTTTTAGGAGAAAGAAAATGCCAATAAATTTATTTAATATACTTCAATATATTATATAAAACTAGGACAGACACTTTTATTTACCTAAATTATTACTTTAATTTTCTACCCTATTCTAGACCTCAGTTTTACGTAAAAAAATTTGTATTTAAATAAGGGATAAAATGTTGCCCAAAAGTCTAACCATGTTACACTTTTGTGTTGTAACTAGATCTACAAATCAAAAAGTTCTTATAGTTAAAAAGATACAATTTGTATCAACAGTAAAAGGTACTTTCTGGTTTTTCAGGGCTTTACTTCGAACTGTAGCACTTGGAGTAATCAGCACACCCAGGGCATCCCGGCAGACTGAGGACACAGACCGGAAGGAGCCATCACACTACATACAAGTCACACACTGGAGGCGACAGGGAAGTCATGCCAATCACACCACTGTCTGCCATTGACTGCAGTACCTACCTTCTAACCGATGAAAACGAATTAGCATCTAGCAAAACCCATGTCTTTGAAACCAGAAATATCCCTTACTAATACTAAAACAGACTTTGGTCTGTATCTAACACTACACTATTTGTGGCAAGAATCTGGCCTTAATAATATAATAGGCCCCCCGCCCCCCATAAAACAACCTTCAGGAAAATGGAAAATATACAGTATCTTACAAAAATGTTAAGTTACCATTTACAACTCCTCCATCGCCATTTCCATAGTGCAGTATCAATAAGTGTTGCATATTCTCAACACATAAAACCACCTCAGGCCAGCCTTGATAAACAGCAGGAAAGCTAGAGAGTATATTAAATATAAAAGTTGCATTGAGAATAATTAGATTCATTAAAAACAGGCAAGTACTGTGAAAGGGTTACTTTATCCAGTATTGTTGTGCCCCCAAACAAAAAGACAAACACATTAAAAAATACAGGTCAATGAAAATCTAGGAATTCAATTCCATTTCTACTCTCTAGAAGCACATCACAGCTGGATAGCAAAGCTCTAAACTGTAACAGTTACGGCTTTTGCCTTATTCATAAAATAAAAATGGAAACACTTTTTTTCCCCCCATTGATTGCATCTGCTTTCCTTTAAATCTGCTATATTAAATTAACTAATTACGTGACAAAAAAAACTGAACAAAAATAAACAATAAAAAGTGCCATATTGTAAATAATTCTAGTATATACTGTTACCCATTTCAACATAAAACTGGTAACTTACATTTGTTTAAAATATAGTCAGTGCTGTAGTATATCTTTGTTTCTATAAATAATGATTATAGCACAAAGAAGCCCACTTTCCCCAAATAAAAATAACTTAAAAAGCTGTAAAAGGTTCAATTAAGCTTGGCTTGAAAAAATAGTTTGCTAGGTCTAGTCAAATGTTCAACATTCTGAAGGTATTGTAATTGCTTGCAATTGATAGAGAAACACCAAGTTAATAAAACATGAAATAAGGATAAAAAGTGCTGCATATAAACCCCTGATGCACCAAAGATTAATATCAAAGATCACATCTAATAAATCAAACTGGAGAAATCTCCAGCCAAGGATAGAGCTTTAAAAAGGAAATGTTTAAAAAAACGTTTGAATGTAAAGCAATCCCGTGATACTTCCACTATGTGGGGCTATACATACAGATTCCATGATACAGTATTTCACATAAATGGATACTATAGAACCTCCTTGCCGAGAAGGAGATCACATGTGCTATTGTAGCAAACCTCCCTCAGCATTTGAGCTGAACAAAAAACTACTAAACACCACAAAGATGCATCGTCTCTCAGTAGCCCAGCTGCGATTTCTCCACTAAGATGGCTGCGGCCAGCTGCTGGGCGTCGGTGACGTGAGGGTTCCTTTTCATGACGATTCTCACGAGGTCGGGCGGGAAGATGTTGCACAGGTTGATGTACACCTTCTCCCGGCTGTCCGGGTAGCGCGGGGGGTCCGGGGGCAGCCCGCAGTACGGGACCCGCCAGGGGGGCTCCTGCTGCTCGGGGAGGCTCTGGAAGGTGAACTGCTCGTAGCACGGCTGCGTGGAGCTGTCGGGCAGGGAGTAGGTCTGCCGGTAGCCGTAGGCGTCCACCCCGTACCCCTGCCTGTCCCAGCCCCCCAGCCCCTCCTGGCGGGAGTAAGGCTTTCTCTGTCTCGAAGGGGAGCCGTCGTACAGCCGGGAGTCAGAGATGCTGTCCAGTCTCGTGGCCACCAAGGACCGCCCCAGGTGCGGCGCCTTGTGCGCGGAGCTCGGAGGAGAGGGGTACTCGCCAGGGCAGCTGGACCGGGCCCCCACAGCTGGGTGCTGCAGGTGCAGGGCCAGATGTGGGAGAGGCGGCTTGTGATGGTACTTTGGTTCTTCGTGACTGTAACTTTGCACTCTGGTTAAGGGGTCGTGGAAGTTCTGCAGGAAGGGCTGGGAATTAAGGCGGCCGTGAGGGTACATGTGCTGACACTTTAGGTTCTCTTCCAGTTGGGGGTCGGGAGAACTGACGTAGGACCGGTCGTTGTAGCCCACGTACGAGTCGCTGCTCCCACAGCTCATGCTCCCGTCGCTGCTGCAGTCAGAGGCCACGGAGCTGATCCTGTAATCCGTGTCCAAGGAAAAACGCCTTTCGGGACTCCGTGGGCCCGAGATACTCAGATTCGAATATGCATTCAACATGGAGTAATACCCAATGTCAACAGGGGAGTCACATTTGGGGTACTGTTCGTAAGGCATTGGCGTCCCATGATTTTTGGTTGTCATCATTATTGGAGGATATTGTCCCTGCGGTCTTTGATCCTGAGGTGGGAAATGAACTCCAGATGGAAGGCCATTGCTTAAAGATGTAGTGCTTTGGGGTTTTGCAGTAGAAGTAGCCGGTATACTCACTAGGGAGGGTACAGACCTGGTTTCCAATTTGTTTTTGGTGGGAAGCTTTTCCTCTAGGTCTGAGTAGGCCTGAGTCCTGATGCTGGGGTCCGACTGCCTCTTTGGGGCGCCTCGCTTGCCGTCGGCAGAGCCGTCAGCCTTGGTGCTGCAGGGGACGCTGTTGCTCTTCACCAGTCCGCCTTCGTTTGCAGTCTTGGCAGCCGTGTTTCTGGACATGGCACGGAGTTCATCGGCCACGGACCGCTGGGGCTGACTGCCCCTTTCCGGATGGTAATATTTGCACTTGTGCCCATAGGTGCACTTCTTTCCTGCAAAGAGGAAGATGAATTAGGCGAAGGAGCATATGCTCAGGCCCCCAGTGCTCAGCCCGGTACTATGACTTGGATTGGTGAGAGAAACGAAGGCAGGATCGGAGGCACACCTCACTTCTGAGAAATGCCACCTCCGTCTCCCCTCCATTAACAGCACTAAGAAGCTGGCCCAGTGACTAATAATCGCCTCCAGAGTTCTGGGTTAATATCATGTGTCCTCAACTCCGACCTACCCATTCTCTTCCAGGATGACTTTATAATAAGGTAGGGCATTTGGGGGAGGGGGGGAGGAGAGTACTACTATAATGTGATAAAGCCGTTCTGATCTGATGTGTATCTATATGTAAGAACTCCAAATGTTGATCTAGATGAAAACTTCATGTAGAAGGAACGGAGTTTTTGGAACCGAGTTTGGGAGATGCATTTGCACTGAAGCCAATTAGGTAAAAATAATTACTTTTTCATGGTTAGAATGTTTTCTTAAGTTTAATTACAAATAAAAGAACTGATATTATGCCATCCAAGATTAAAAATGATTATTTAAGATTTAACAACAGACTGTGCTCTAAAGGCAGATATTAAACACCCAGAAAGAAGTTACCGTATGGGCAGGGCTGCTTCTTATGTTCGGGAACAATAGGCTTCTTCCTCAGAAAATTGTCCAGGCTCGGACCGTGCCTGCCAAGAGGGTCATCAGGGGGCATGAACCTGTCACGAGTAAAATACAAAATTATACCTAACTAGAAAGTTTATCATGTAATTCTAAAGACAGTGTAAACATTTATTACTCTAAGGTATTTTTTCCAATTTTAATCCAAATACTTTGATTCAACATTTACAGGATAAAAATATTAATGGACTAAGTTCTCTTGATAATAACAAAATTAAAATGTTTCAAGCTAAACTCATATTTGTTTTAATTCAAATAAGCTTTGAGTGAAACATGTTCCAATTATTTCTTCCTTCCTCTCAATCTTGGGGATTTGTAAAGATTTCAGAAAACAATCCCAAGGACATTATAGGAGAGTTTTATAACCATCAATGCTGTGAAGCAGTGTAAACAGGAGGGGAATGATGAGGGGCTGCTGAGGAAGAGAAGGGAGATGGAGCATGGACGGCAGTTAACGACTTGCATGTTGGAATCTGTGCACATGTTCATCTCGTTTCATGCTACCAGGATCCCTGCAGCATCCGCGCTGCTTTGGGGGCTAACACACTTTTCTAATTCAGGCTTAGATAAAGGAAGTTACTTTCATCTAAGTTCACATGTGCAGCCAAGATGCCTGACTCCACACAGTCATTTCCCTTCCCACTCTCCTAAGGTGCTTTTCAGCTGATGTAGAAAATGGCTTAAGAAAATAAACATTATATTGGACTGATTGCTCAATGGAAGCAAGAATTCACAGTGTGCATAATGAAAAGCAGTTATGACTGCAAAGTTCTGCTATTAAGTTACTGTTTGAACGTCAAAGAAACCAAGTATTTATCCATAAAATGTGAATAATTTATGAGCTCATAAGGGGGTGTCAACATGGATGAGTAGTAACACTTAGAAAATATTAATGTAAGAATAATAGGGCAACATTAAAAGTTTAAAAATAGAAGACACTCAATCCTACAATCTTTTTAAAAAAATATATATTTTATTGATTTTGTATAGAGAAGAAGGGAGATAGTTAGAAACATGGATGAGAGAGAGTCATCGATCAGCTGCCTCTTGCACACCCCCTACTGGGGATATGCCCGCAACCAAGGTACATGCCCTTGACCGGAATCGAACCCGGGACCTTTCAGTCCCCAAGCCGATGCTCTATCCATTGAGCCAAACCGGTTTCGGCTCAATCCTACAATCTTAATGCAATTAATTTCTACTTATGTGTTGCATTTTAGTCATTTTTCTGTATGCATATTCCATTTTACAAACACAGATTTTATGCTTTGTCTTTTTAACATATGATTCAATGTTTAATAGCTTTTCACCATCATAACTCAGGATAGCAATATTACTTGTAAGCAAATGTTTTACTCACTTGTCATTGACAAATGAATACATTAACAATCGCTCATCTATGAACTTCTTCCACTCTGGTTTCTCATTAGCCAGATCCCTGTAGTTGTCATTGGACACAATTATTCCGTCGGACTCGAAAGCCAGCTTCACGATGAACCTGTCATCGTAGCACACCACGCGCCTGCCCTGGACTCGCCGGGACGGAGTAAACACCAGGATTTTCTCCTTCTCTAATTTACGAAGAATCTCTTGATCTGCAGGGTAGAATTTCAGGAATAAATACATACGTAACACATGTAACAACATCACACAGTGTGAGGTTTTATAAAACAAACTGGATATATATAATCCTTTCATTAGGGATTATTATTTCACAGTTCATGGATGTAGCAAATTTGTAACTCCTAATATTTTTCCTTCAGGATTTCTAATAAAGCTTTAAAAATAATAGTCCCCCTCAAATGAATTTAAAAAATATAAAACGTTTAAAACTTCAAAAATGTTTAAAAGTTAAGAAAAATTAAAAGCATAAAACTTAAACATGACTGAACAACTTGTGAATTGACCGGAGTTACTAATTTTTAAAACTTCTATCTCTTCAGCAGACAATCACTACATGCCTACTCGATGGCATATACTATGCTAAGTGTTAATGGCCACCAAGATGAAGAATGACCTCCCTTCCAGGATGTCTTAGGTAAACATGTAAACTAGTAACAAGGGTTGTAATTGCCACAAAAGAAGGACGAGCAAAGTATGAGGGAAGTGGGGATGGAAGAGCAATATGGGCCAACTAGCTCTGAGACTGGCATATAAATCTCATGATGCTCCCAAAGTTCATAAAGTGCCAAAGTTCACTGAAACCGGAACTTTGGTTAGAAAAGCAGCAGAGGAGGGGAAGAAATGTGGGCTTTGAAGTCAGCAAGTCAAGGCAAATGCTCAGGTTCTGCTGCTTTATGTCTATGGCATCAATCCTACTGCGCCCGCTCCTCCATGTCTTCACACGCAGCTGGTGGGCTCTGAGGACCAATGTGTACAAGCTCTCAGCACGGTGCCTGGGAAGCTCTCAATGAACTCGGTGTGCTTTTGCTTAATGCTGTTTAATAGACATACGTAATTGTTTCTCTTTTAAAAGTAACAGAAAACCAAAATTAAGAGCCTAGTCTCATCTAGATCTGTCACCTTAGAGTTATTTTCTGTGTTCCCCAGATAAACTTTTTAAGAGCAGGTGCCATGTCTCATTGATCTGTTTCCATCAGCCCTCAGCACATCAGTAGGTATCGATAATAAATGTGTGCGAACAAATACACGAGCTACTTAACCATGTACATTCAGAGGTCTTCTAGTTATTTACTGTCTATGTTCAGGAATAAGCCACTGTATTTTATTTGTAGGCGTGTTTAGTCACATAAGATATGCCTGGATCCTCACCAAAGTGGCTAAAGGAAGGAACAAGTGTGGTAGCCATCATCTTGTTTCCTTAATAGCTATCGAGAAAAACAGGACATTAACTAGGATGGTAATTAGTAATAACTGATTAGATGACAACTACCGTGTTTCCCCGAAAATAAGACATCCTCCGAAAATAAGACCTATCGCATGGAAAGATAAGAGATCCCCTAAAAATAAGACCTAGCGCAACTCTGGGAGAAAAAAAAAATAATATAAGACACTGTCTTATTTTCAGGGAAACAGGGTAATTAGGTCAAGTAACCCTAACTTAACTATTGGGTAAATATAGCCAGTAAGTTAATGGAATCTCTAGTTCTCAGCATAATACCTGAGTCATAGTTGAGTACTTGCTTATTAAATATTTGATAAAATCAATGGAAGATTGGCAAAAGAGCGGTCTGAATTTATATTTGAGGACTTAACAAATATTTCTTATCAAGTTTATTTTTTTGCTACCGTGAGAAATATGGGACTATCCAATTCCCAGTTTTAGTCAGGAGGATGGTTATCCTGGAGGAAACATCCAACCTCTGACAGTTCGTGTGTGCATTTCAGAGTCAACTGCATACTGAAGGGTTCAGGACGCATCATGCTGGTGTTTCAAAAGCTAAACTTAGGCACCACCCACACTGTGTATTATCCTTTCCCTTCTTTTTAAAGAAAAGTATATTTTTTTGATTTCAGAGAGGAAGGGAGAGAGAGAGAGAGAGAGAGAGAGAGAGAGAGAGAGAGAGAGAGAGAGAGAGAGAGAGAAACATCAATGATGAGAGGGAATCATTGATCGGTTGCCTCCTGCACACGCCACACTAGGGATTCAGCCCGCAACCTTGGCATGTGCCTGACCAGGAATCGAACCATGACCTCCTGGTTCATAGGTTGATGCTCAGCCACTGAGCCACACCAGCTGGACAGTCTTTTTCCCTCCTTAATTTCATATTCTCTCAAGAAGCTTGCCAGTCATGTTCAAGTATTGTTTGTTTCTTTTTAGTTCAATTACAGTTAATATATGGGCATATTTCCTTCTAGTCATTTTCTGTGTACTTTTTCTCTCCATTGTTTATATATGTACATATGTATGTATATGTGTGTATATATACACACACAAGCATAATAATAAAACCAGCCTTGTGTGTAAAAGAGCACTTCTATCAAAATATACTAATTTATTGTACCATTCTTTTATTTTATTTTTTTGTTAATCCTCACCCGAGGATATTTTTTCCCCATTGAATTTTAGAGACAGTGGGAAAAAGGGGCAGAGACACACAGATGTGAGAGAGACACATGGATTGGTTGCCTTCTCACATGCTCCAGCAGGATCCAGCCTGCAAATCTAGGTATGTGCCTTTGACCAGAATCAAACCTGAGACCCTTCAATCCACAGACCAAAAGCTCTATCGATGAGCAACCGGCTACCTGAACCATTCTTTTAAAGAATGTATGATTTGGTTCCATTGCTTTCTAGTATAATATTGCACTAAATGTCTTTGTAGTCAGAAATCTTTGTGTGGACTCTGCTTAAATTTACATTTTTTTAATTGCTACTGAGGTGAACCTTTTCCTTTTATAAAGCACTTGCTTTCTTCTGCAAGCTGTCTATTCCTCCCCTAGTAACACTTATATATTTAAAAAAACCTCTTATCAATGCATATGAGCTCCTTATATGTTAAGAACATGGGTTCTGTGTTTACTGGTTGTATTTTTTTTTCTTAGTAAAATAAAAAGATTTCTCATTTTTAAGAAAGTTTCCCAAATACAGAAGTTTAAATTTTGATGCAATTAAGTCTATCTTTTCCTTCATAATTTCTTTAAAAAATTTTAAATTTAGATAGTTCTCCCCAGCCATTCAAAGACTACTTACAAAAGTCTCTAATGGTTTAAGTTTATGACAATTAATCCTTCAACCATCTGGAATCAACTGTCATATGATGTAAGATCAAGATGTAAATACGTATATTTTTCTCAAAGAATTATCCAATGTCTTGGTACTACTGGCTGAATTATGCCTGCCTCTCCCACTTTACAGTTTCCACAGGTCTGATTCCTTGGCTCTGTACTTCCTACCATAACTTATCTATCTATTCTTAGGTATTTAAGGATTATAGATAAAAATAAAGTCTTAAAATGAGACTTCAGGTAAATGGTAAGTGGTCTGTCCATTTGCTTTTGGGTGTGAAGTGTATTTTCTTCAACCAGTCCTCAGTTTTTGCTAATGCTGGAGGTGTAGAGAGGAGCGAGAATCACTTGACTTGAGCAAAATGTTCAACAACAACAATTAGCAGGCACAGGGGACATTTTTGGCTGAAACTCAGACATTCAGAAATTACAGAATAATGCAAAACACAGATACTTTATTGGGACAGAGCGTTTCCTGCCACCTGATACCAAACAACACATCCTGAGTCTCAGATATTTTTTGATCTGCAATCAATATAATTTGATTGTCATCTAGTCTAATTTTTATAGTAGATGAGAAAATTGTGGTCCAAAAAAGGTTCTGTCTATTGCTCAAAGTCTTATGGCTAGTAAATGGCAAAGGCAGAATTTGAATCTAAATCTCCTGACACCTAACATGTCTCTAAGGTCAGAATTTCACAACATTTGAAGTAAAAAGTTTCAAAATTCAAACAAAACAAAAACTCAGCTTATGTAGCAAGGATTACTGTATAACATAATCAGATGGTTTGAAAATTGTAAAGTTAATTTTCCACCCAAGGCCATGCGGCCATCACATAGAGGAGACGGAAACAGGCGGACACAGTGTGCAGTGAGAGGGGGCACCTGACACTAAGGCAGAGCCATGGGCTTACCTGTGATGAGAGCGTCGGGCCGGGACTGCTCCTTTCTCCAGGCAGGAACAAAAACAGTGACATCTCTGTGGCCTCTTTCCAAGAACCAATCCACTGCCAGTTTTATTCCTCGGCAGGAAAATACTTCTTTGTTCCCGTGGCTGAAAGATTATTTTAGAACGCTTTACACAACAAAACCTAAATTTAACTTAATTCAAATCTGAAAACAGGAATGATCACATCATTACAATGCAATAGGAGCATTCAAATTTGAGATGGAGTTGAATAGCTCAAAGAAACTCTAAGATAACTTCGAAGTTGAAAATCTGTGAGAAAGAAATTAAGAAAATTGGGATGATTATTGTGTGAAGAATAATGAAAAGTAATTGTATGTAAAGTTGTAAAGGATAACAAGTCAGAAAGATACATGCTCTTTTTGACCAGAAAGGGGCCTCAAACACAGCAAGAATAGTTTCAGTCAAATGTAACAGAGAAGCCACATAGGAAAAAATCTGTAAAAACAATAGAATGGAGCCCAGCCAGTGTTGCTCAGTGGTTAAGCACTGACCTATGAACTAGGACATGGTTCAATTCCTGGTCGGGGCACATGCCTGAGTTATAGGCTCAATCCCAGGTAAGGGGTATGAAGGAGGCAGCTGATCCCATGATTCTCTGTCATCACTGATGTTTCTCTCTCCCGCTCTGAAGGCAATAAAAACTTATTTAAAAAACAAAATAGTGGAATGGAATACCTATTTGTTTTTAAAAACTTCCTTCTCAAGACTTACTATATTTCAATATAACGAATAAGTAATGTACAAAATGTATTAGGTGACCAAGTAAAACAACATACATGGGAAAAGTATGTTCACAGGGCTTAGTCTCATACAAGAAACACTTTCCATGTCCTTCCCTGAAGACACCTGGTTTCCATTTAACACTATTGGGTTAGACAAGGATTAATGACGACACAAGGGCATTCAGAGCTGGCTCAGCAGTTTCAGTGCCCAAAACAAAATGCCCAACTATGAGATGGTCATTCAACAGTATTCATGCGGCACCAGGCTTTGCTTGTGCACTGCAGCCTAAGGATTCAAAACAACACTTCTGAGGTTTGTGAAAGAAGTCTCTTGTTTTGAATACAGCAACTGCATCCTTTTAAAAAACGTATTTATTTTTTATTGTTGACACTGCATTCTTTTATAGTTTTAGCTCTGAAGGCTGCGCTTCTTATCTTTAATGAGACAGATATTCTTTATTTCGTATGCCTGAGGAAGGCTAAATGAAATAGGTGGACAAATGCTTTACTAATGTTTGGCATAGATCGAACATTAAGTATGTTCATATATTGTTATAGTGGTCCCCTGTGAAACACTGGAGCCATCTAATATGGCTAATCATTTTGAAAACAAAAGGGAAACAGATCACCTTGTTATGCAGATATTGAAGGCTATAAATGCAAACCAGAGGCACTATGGCTCCATGCCCCTCCTGATGGTCCTGGGCAGGATCGAGGTGACATACTGGAAGTTTCAGAGAAAGGGATACAGGATGGGGGACTCTGAAGTCCCATTTTCTGGGTAAGAAGGGCTACCTGAAGCCTCACCAATGATACAAAATGATGCCAGGTTTCATGGAAAATACTGACATTTAGTCAGTCTTCTGAAAACTACAGAAAATGTTGGCAGCATCTTTTGAGAAAAAATATATACATACTAACTGTTCCTAAATAGAAACACTCCATGTGCTAAAACATAACCATCTTGATTTGCATGGATGCTCTGAGACCTAAGTGTACGACTATGTGCTGGTCATTATGCCATTTGCTTACTCAGACTTGAGCATTGACCTGCTCTGGTGCTAAGAGACAATAGAAGCATTTTCTGCCCAGTGACTTCATCTGTCAGGGCGACTGTCACATTTCACTGCAGGAAGAGAAGATCCCACCTTCTATTTAAAGAACTTCCATACAATGTGGGTAAACAGCAAACATGAGGAAGGTTCCACACAGGCTGAAACAGGATACTGTACTGCACACTATTGACAGTATAAGTTGTTTCATATCCTTTCTTTCCCCATGGCCCAGGCCCCCACACCCCATCCCACAAAACCTCACAGGGAGAGAGCAGGAGGAAGGAAGGCCACACTGTGAATGGGAAATGGAAACATATAAAGAAACCGGGTTTCTAAGCCGATGGACCCACATCCATCTCTGATCTTGTTATCAGAGAAAAAAGACCCTCCCTCATTTGTTTAAGAAACTGTAGTCAATTTTTCTGTTATTTGCAGCTACACACATCCTTAACCATAAACCAAAAACACTGGCAAAGCTATATTTTCTATAATATCAGAAAAAATATCTTATGGCAAAAATTACTAGCAACAAAGTTATTACATAATACAGTAGTAATAAAGGAACAATTCACAAGGAAGCTATAATAATTGTGATCTCAGTCTCCATATGAGGATTGCAAAAGATCACAGGATTTCTATAATAAATGGACAGACGGAGCAGAAAACACATAGTGAGACTTAGACTGGACCATGAACAATTACAAGCCTGATCTAATGGACATGGGCAAAACCCTGCACAAAATTAGGGAAGAGAAAGTCTTTTCAAGAGCACAGGAAAGACTGATGAAAGTAGCTGTGTGCTAGGCCTCAGAACAGATTTCAACGGACATCAGACATACATATCACAGATAACATATACTGACAATGTTATTACAATGAAGATACAAAGGTTCTAATTTAAAATGAATATTGCTGTTCATCAGCAAACCAATTAAAATATAAAAAAAAAAATCCCATTTGTAACAATAACAAAAACTAAACAACTCTAAAGAAAAAGCAAGAGATTTATAGAGAAGATGAATATTGAAAACCTGTAGTAAAGGGAATAAGAAAAGACCCAGGTGAAAGGAACAATGAACCATCTTCCTGGATGCAATACCCAATTAAGCTATAGTGCATTGCAACTCCCAGAAAAATTCTCAAAGGGCTTTTTATGGAACGTGAAAAGCTGACCCTAAAGTTAACATGTAAAAAACAAAAGGCCAAGAATAGTTAAGCACTTTTGAAGAACAAAAGAGGAGGACCTTCCCCACCAGTTATCAATACTTACAATAAAGCTACAGAAATCCAATCACTGTTGTACTGATACAGGCAAAGATAAAAAACAAAAACAAAAACATAAAATATGTAACAGAAAAGCAAGTGTAAAGTGACACACACAAGAATGAATTTTAAAAGTGATATTATAAATCAATTCAACAAATAGTATTAGGGCATTTAGTTATTTATATGGGAAAAATAAAATTGTGTGTTTATCTCATATTGCACACAAAAGTAAGCTGTAGATAGATCAAAGATTTAAATTTGAAAGGAAATATTATAAAACTTTTAGAAGAAATTATAGGAGACATTTACAGCAGGATAGGAAATACTTCTTAAGGAAGATATGGAAGCACGTGCTATGTTAACCTGTTAACCGAGCGGGACGTATAAATACATCAAACGTAAACAATATCGGGAACGGGTAGTACCTATGATTACGTCCTGGAAATATATGCTGCACCCTGAGAGGGACGGTATATACTTTTTGTAATCTTTATAATTGTTTGTAAAATTTATAATTTTTTAATTTGTTTCCATTTTTTTTGTTGGTATTCTTTTCTATTTTTTTGAAATTTTGTATTTTCCTTTGTGCTTTATATATAAATAAAAAAAATATATCATTTACTTTAATTAAGTATAAATTAAAAAAAATAATAATATGAAATTACGTCCTCCAGGCATGATGTACTGACACTAGTGAAAGAGTACACGCCCATTACAGGTTGTGTAATTAAAAAGGGAACTCCCTGGTTAACAGGGAGTTAACCAGGGAGTTCCCTTTAGGAAAAGACTGATACATTTGGGCACATAAAACTTATTTATGCAAAAGACTCCATGAACAAAATAAAAATGCCACAGACTGCCATAGGGAGAAGTCATTGCAACATATAGCCCAACCAAAAGGCTAGTCCTCATCTATATATATAAAAGGCGAAGTGAAAGTTTGACCAACCTACTGATTATCCAACTGGCCTGTAGGTGTGACATGCACTGACCACCAGGGGGCAGACACTTAACACAGGAGCTGCTTAGCGACAGCAACTTTGCAGAGTGCCCTCTCACACTCCACGGCCCCTTGGGGGATGTCAGAGAGCAGGTTTCAGCCCGATCCCTGCAGGCCAGGCCAAGAGATCCCACCTGCTGGAGGGACCCCACTCACTCCCCAGATGCCCTTTGAACCATGATGCTGCCCTATGTGCAGCCGGCTGGGGAGGGACGGCAGGAGGTTGGCTCCACAGGAGGTTGGCTCTGGGAGGTGTCCAGCCTGTCTCGCCCAGTCCTGCCTCGCTTCTAATTAATTTCTTTTCAGTATGCACGAATCCATGCATCAGGGCACTAGTAATATATAAAGTACTCCCAACACAGAGAAGTTTTTTGTATAACCAGTTTTTTTTTTTTTTTAAGGCAAAAATATAAGCAAATTCACAGAAGAAGAAACCCAAATGACCAACAAACATGAAAAGATGCTCAGTAGTGAAGAAATGCAAATTAAAGCCAAAATGAAACACCACTTCACACTCATCAGATTGGAAAAAGTAAAGTTTGCAAACACCAGATGTTGCCAAGGATGTGTGAAAGCAAGAACTCATAGATTACAGGTGGGAGTGTGAACTGGGGTAACAATTCAGGAGAATAATTTGGCAAAACTTTATAAATTGAAGGCGTGTTTTCTCTAAAACTGTATTTCACATTTCGGTTGAAGAAACCCAACGGTAGCTTAAAAAGGTTTAATGCAGTTAGCAGCTGGCATTCATTCTTGGCCCAGCCTTAGATCTCACATGGGGGCAGGCTAAAGTCTTTTTTTTTTTTTTTTTTTTTTTTTTTTAAATATTTTATTGATTTTAGAGAGGAAGGGAGAGGGAGAGAGATAGAAACATCAATGATGAGAGAGAATCATTGATTGGCTGCCTCCTGCAGGCCACCTACTGGGGATCGAGCCCTCAACCTGGCACATGCCCCTGGCTGGAATCGAACCTGAGATCCCTCAGTCCGCTGGCTGACGCTCTATCCATTGAGCCAAACCAGCTAAGGCCCAAAGTCTTCT